TTGCGTTCATGAATGCACATAGCTTTGTTATTGTTGCCCGGACATTGTCTGGAAGGATACCCCTTATTACAACTGGTAGCAGTTGTGTCATCAACACGTGACAGTCATGAGACTTTAGGTTTGTGAACTTCTTCTCCTTCGTGCTTATTATTCGCTTGATATTCGTGGAGTATCCAGACGGTACCTTTATGCTCTCCAAGCATTCAAACATACTTTCCTTCTCTGCCTTGCTAAGAGTGTAGCTGGCTGGACTCAAGTAATGGCTTCCTTTCTCCTTTGGTTCCGGGTGAAGGTCGCCGCGTTGTTCCATATGCTTCAGATCATTACGTGCTTCCAGTGTATCTTTCGACTTTCCGTATACACCTAGGAAGCCAAGAAGGTTTACGCAAAAGTTCTTAGTGAGGTGCATCACGTCGATTGCGTGGCGTACGTCCAAGAATTCCCAATATGGTAACTCCCAAAATATAGAGTTCTTTTTCCACATCGCCGCGTGACCATCTTCGCTCTCTATATGCTGGCTTCCAGGCCCCTTTCCGAACACTACTTTAAGATCTTTAACCATAGCAAACACTGTTTTCCCGCTGCGATGTTTAGGCTTCGTACGGTGGTCGGCCTTATGTTCGAAGTGCTTGCCTTTCTTCCGTACCGGGTGGTTTGCTGCAAGGAATCGACGATGACCCATGTATACAACCTTCCTACAGTGCTTAAGATACGTACTTTCTGTTTCATCCATACAGTGAGTGCAAGCCTTGTACCCCTTGTTGGACTGTCCGGATAGGTTGCTAAGTGCAGGCCAATCGTTGATGGTTACGAACAGCAGCGCTCGTAGGTTAAACTCCTCCTGTTTGTCCTCGTCCCACACGGGGACACCTTCCTTCTTCCACAACTGTTTAAGATCTTCGACCAGTGGTCTTAGGTACACGTCGATGTCGTTACCAGGTTGCTTGGGGCCTTGAATAATAATCGGCATCATTATGTACTTCCTCTTCATGCATAGCCAGGGGGGGAGGTTGTAGATACACATCGTAACGGGCCAAGTGCTATGGCCGCTGCTCATCTCTCCAAAAGGATTCATGCCATCCGTACTCAAACCAAACCGTATGTTTCGTGCGTCCTTTCCAAATTCTTTAAATTTTCTCTCGATGTTTCGCCACTGCGAACCATCGGCGGGGTGTCTCAGCATCCTGTCCTGTTGACGCTCTTCAGCGTGCCATCGCAACATTCTAGCATTCCCCTTGTTCCTGAACAAACGCCTTAGCCGTGGTATTATAGGGAAATACCACATCACCTTAGCAGGAATTCTCTTCTTTGTTAGCTGCCCGTCAACTTCTCCTGGATCGTCCCGTCTAATCTTGTATCGTAGTGCTTTGCAAACAGGGCATGCTTCTAGGTTCTCATACTCCTCACCGCGATATAGGATACAATCGTTCGGACATGCGTGAATCTTATGAACTTCCAGTCCTAACGGGCAGACTATCTTCTTAGCCTCGTACGTTGTCTCGGGCAATTTGTTTCCCCCCGGAAGAATGTTCTTGACGAGTTTCAATAAATCGCCAAATGCCTTGTCACTAACCCCATTTTTTGCCTTCCATTGCAACAACTCCAGAGTGGTATCCAACTTTTTGTGCCCCTGCTCGCAACCTGGGTACAACGAAGTTCTGTGGTCCTCCAACATCTTGTCCAATTTATGGGCCTCCTTTTCACTTTCGCAGTCCTCCCTAGCGTCCTGCAACATCTGACCAAGATCATCCGCAACGTCGTTACCATCAGCAGCTATTTCCTCCTCGCCCGTTTGATTTCCTTCAAATCCAACATACTGAGCAAAGTCCGGAATATTGTCGTCTTCCACTTCATCTTCTTCCATTTCAACACCTTGCTCTCCGTGGGATGTCCAACAATTATAGCTTGGCATGAACCCCGACTCAAACAAGTGGAAATGAATAGTCCTGGATGCAGAATACTCCTTCTGATTCTTACACTTATTGCATGGACAACAAATAAAACCCCTTTGCCTATTAGCTTCGGCCACTCTCAAAAAATAGTGCACGCCGTCAATAAACTCTTTGGACCGCCGGTCAGCGTACATCCATTGCCGATCCATCTACATGAGTCAAAAAAACCGTACACAAATAATTATTCTTACAATAATGACAGTCATACAATAATTATAAGATATCTTTATTCATACAAAAATCATAAAATATTACACCAAATAATTCTTAAAAACTATTTGTAAAGTTTTAAACTATTTTTAATGTGTTTTACTTCTTTTAATTTTCATTTTAGTTTGTTTTCTATTATTTAAGATTAACTTTCACTAGAGTTTTCCTTCTCAACTATTTTATAAAACCTTGTTTAGCAAATGAACTAAATTTCTATATATTCTTTCTTCCCCACACACATTTTCTCTCTCATCAACTTACAACTAAATTTTGGAGACAAAAAAAGTGTGCAAAACATAGGTGCAAATGTAGTATGACAAAAAAAAACATTGGAGGATGAAGTTGTAAACCTTTTAGGCACCTCCGATTTGTATGTAATCACCAAAATAAATTCAATAGAAATTTTGGCATGACCTCCCCTCTTTTTTGAAGAAATTTTGAAGCTTGCTCGGGCAGCTGGAGGAGGAAGAAGACATATATATAGGGGTGGGACTTTAGTCCCGGTTGGTAGCACCAACCGGGGCTAAAGATCACCGGGATCTTTAGTTCCGGTTGGTATTACCAACCGGGACTAAAGTTACGATTTTTAGTCCCGGTTGGTGTTACCAACCGGGACTAAAGATCCCAGGGGGCCTGACAGGCCCTGACAGCATTCGAACCGGGACTAAAGATGATCTTTAGTCCCGGTTGGTAACACAAACCGGGACTAAAGATCAAATATGCCCGTTACCCTTTTGAACCGGGACTAAAGATCATCTTTAGCCCCGGTTTTTATTGCAACCGGGACTATTGTGGAAATCGGCCGACCGACGAAAGATGGTTACTCCACCAGTGAAGCGTTATAGTTTTGTGATTAAATTGACACTAAACCTATAATTTTACGATAATTCTTTATTTAATCTTTATTTTTTATACCCATGGTTAGTAGCGGGAGTAGCTTCCACTAAAAGTAAGAGGGAGAAGGAGCAGTTGCCTATGGGAAGCAAGGGAACATGGATACGTACTTGCACGGGAGGGGATCCCTCCCGTTACGTAGATTTCTTTGTTTTCGTTTAGTAGAAAAAATATTCGTGTGTTGTAACGGATAAAGACTATTTTTAATCATATTGTTGTTATATTTTCTTTTTCTAAAAAGTATATGGGATATTTATTTTGATAGTATTGATATCTAATTTGGAATTTTTATTGGGATGATGGTCATATCATATACGTTGATTTCTTATAGTTTGGTAAGAATTCTGAAGCAACTAGGACTCCGACTCTCGTCCTAAGTTAACATGCATGTTTTTTAAAAGGATTTCTTATACAACTCCTTATACATTCCTAAAAGTGAAAGAACTTAAAAACCAACTTAAATACGAACGATGTACCAAAATATCAGCGGAAACATCTTTAATTTTTATAATACTAGAAAAATGCCCGTGCGTTTCAACAGTTGAAGGCTAATTTTAATTTTATTATTATTATATGGTTTAGTTAAAGTGAAATTCACTATGATAATTCACTTAGATATATATTTTTCTAAAAAATCATGAGCTGTAATTAGGATTATGATCATTTAAAGTTAGCATGCGAGTTTTTTTTTTAAAAAGGATTTCTTATACGTCTCCTTCTATATTTCTAAAAACGAACGAACTTAAAACCCGACTCAAATACGGATCTGTATTTATAAAAGCGAACAAACTTAAAAACCGACTCATACACGAATAACACACTAAAGTACCAGTTAAAGCATTTTAAATTTTTATAATAGTAGAGATAAGTAGAGAAGAGACAGATATTTAAGAGATAAAAAGGATTCTCAGTTAGTATAACCCAAGCCCAGCCCATTACCACGGCTAACTAACTAGCCCATGTATATCGATCTATATCGGCCCACAAAGTTGACAAAGTTGGTCCACGTCGATCTATATCGGCCCATAAAATTATCGAACTTTTCCCTCGGACGACTTGCAGAAATTCCATTGGAATAAGTTCATTTGAGTTCCTTAACTTATTAACGAATCCGATTTTCGTCAATCAACCGAAAATCAGATACAACTGGTCCTTCAACTGTGCAATATAGGTCCGTTTAGATGGCGGTATTAGCTAACATGGCGCCTACATGGCTAATTTGATTCGGTCTTCATCTGACGTGGCATTAACGTGACACACGAAGCAAAATTTAATATTTTAAAAAATAAAACAAAATATTTTGGCCCACATGTCAGATTAAAAAATAATGAGACCCACATGTCAGATCAGATTAGAAGAAATATAACAAATCTTGAGAAGAGATCGGAAGAAAAATAGAGAGAAAAAATAGTTGGAAGGAGAGATGGATAAAAATATGAGGCACTGCTTGTATGGATCCGAGGATCCTTGCTGGTATAGATCGGGATTATGCAGGTCGTTGACGCCTTGGGATGCAGTGCTCCCATGGGGCTCAGATGGTGGCTCGATGTGGTCGTCGGTGGCACCAAGTCAGGGAATCTCGGGGAGAGGAGAAGCCGAAGAGGTAGAGCAGGGAGAGAGGGTGCCGTGGTGCTACGATGAATGCCGCCGGCTCTGGGGAGGAATAGGACACAGAGAAGAAACTAGAAAGGGGAGCTGGGGAGAGGAGGAAGAAGAGGGGGTGTGAATGATTATGTGGGGCCCATGTGGGCTCCACCTTTAAAAAAATTGGTGTAGCTAATATGTGGGACCACCGTTTTTATTATTTTTCTAGGATAAAATAGTCACGTAAGCGTCACGTCAATGCCACGTGGGACGAAGACCGAGTCAGATCAGCACTTAGGCGCAGCGTCAGCCAAAACCGTCTTCCAAACCACCGAGGAACCTCGTTTGCACCGGTTTTAACAGTTCATGGACCGGTTGTATCTTGTTTTAGGTTAAGGACGAAAATCGTATTCGGTGTAAAGTTAACGGACCTTATATGAACTTATTCCAAACTGCATTTGGCTCGGCCTGTAAAACACAGCCCAATCCCGTTCATAAAAGAAGGGCCCATTACGTAGGGAGTTGGGCTGGGCCGAAGGCCATTCCAAATCACTCGTCTAAAGAGGACGTCGAAGACGAAGGCGGCGGCTGCCTCGCCTAGCACGCTCCGGCAACGAGGGTAAAATCTTAAATTCGTAATTTTCTGTTCGTCACATCATCGGTACCCAAATTTTTCGTTCATCCAACCCCCCACCCAAAATCTCAGTCGGAATTCTATCATCCCCCAACCAAAAAAAATCCTAATCGGAATTCAATCACACAAATAGAAGCATATACACATGAGTCCGCGTCAAATAACACAAAAAGTTTTAATCCGTGTTAGATCCCAAATACAAGAATAGAAGAACAGCAAACGGAGATAAAAAAACCAAATCAATGAAAAATCGAGTGGAGTTTGCTGCTGCCGCCGCCTCCTCCTATGGCCACATCCCGCGAGTGGCCGCTGGCAGTGGCTTGCCGAGCTGCGCCGCCGGCGCCCGCTACCGCCGTCATTTCAACCGAGGGGGGAGGCAACAGGGGACGGAGGGAGCCGCCGCTGACGCCACCCGCGGCTGCTGGGGGCGGAGGGAGCCACTGCTGCCACCACCCGCAGCTGTCGCGAGGCCACCGCCACCGCCAGATCTGCCTGCCGCGGGAGGGATGAGGGTGGAGGAAGGGGAGGGAATAGCTGTGGGGAAACGGCGCTGGCGGTGGGTCCCCTTCCCGTCGCCGCGCCTTGCCAGGAGACGGGAGGAAGAGGGGGAGATGGGAGAGGAGGGGGCCAGGGAGGCGAGACGGAGGGAGCGGGCGCCTTGTCGCTGTCGCTGGGGAGGAGAAACTGGGAGACAGAGAGAGCGACGAGAGAGAAGCGAAGGCGGAGGATTCTAGAGATGGAGAAATTGGACATTATGCCACTGCCAATAGTGGGTTTCGCCACAATGCCATTCCCCGGAATAGCGTCGTTAAAATGCCACTCACAAGAGATGCCAAACATTTGTTTTGCCATTTAGGCCAATTCTCTCCATTTCCACCTATTTTTCCACCCAGGCTGACTAAAATACCCCTCCGGTCGTCACAACCGAGTCGTTCGTGCCGCCGGCGCGCCGCCGACGCCCAAGCTCACCGCCAGCGACGTCCCGCCCCCATGGTCGAAGCCCGCTGCCAGCACATCGGAGAAAGAGAAGGAAACCCTAAGCCGGCCACCGCGTCATGAGCCACAATCTCCTGCATCGTCTCGCCCGCCGGTCACCACGCTGCTCCTCTCCCGTTGACCACCGTGCGCCGCTCGCCACCATCTCCTCCGCCGTCGTCTCCGCCGCGCGTCGCAGGCTGCCCGCCACCATGGCCCAAGAAGGCTAGCTCCAGGAGGAGCTCATGGCAGGACGAGACCTGCGTCGCCGTCTCGGGCTTGGTTGGCACGGTGACTGCGGCGGGGATGGAGACCGACGAGCCGGCGACCAAGGCGGCGGGAGGTGAGCCGAAGCCCTCGCTGGCGACCAAGGCGGCGGGAGGTGAGCCGGAACCCTCGCGCTCGCCCTCGCTAGCTCTCCGGATTGTGTGTGGTTTGAGCTAAAAGATTGCGTTCTTGAATTTGTAGAGCAAGATAAGGACGACGAGGAGGAGAGCTCCGGCGGTGGCGGCGCCGAGCCTGAGGTTAGTGCCACCCCTGCCGTCGTGGTCTTCTCCTCATCCCACATGTTTACCGGAGAAGAGAAAGAAACCAGAGAGGGGTATTTTGGTCGGTTGAAGTGCAAAAAAGGTGAAAATCTTATGAAATGGCGAATATGGCAAAGCAACGGTTTGGCATCGGTTGAAAGTGGTATTTTACGATGCCATTCCGCAGAATGGCATTGTGGCGAAACCCACTCTTAGGAGTGGCAGAATGTCTAATTTCTCCTAGAGAAGAGATAAGGTTCGAGAGGAGGTGGGGTGATATTTTTCTTTGCTGTTCAGGTGAATATCTATATAATGCAGTGCATGTCAAAACGTCCATGATTCTCAATTGGTTAGCCTAGAAAACCTGTGCCGACAGGTCATGGGTCCGATTCCTTGATCACTTTGGTTAGCTTTCTTTTTTCTGGTTATCATCTACTGTTCTTTTCCCTTTTCCTTTTCTCTCCAATCTAATTCATAGAAAAAAAACTAAAAATAAAAATTAGCCACCAAGAGAAAGTTAGTCTTTTTTTTAATTGCTATAAAACCTTAGTTAATGTTAAATCTGGTAAACAAGAAATATATTGTTTTCAACATGTTAAAATATTTATTGTGATTTTAGTTAAAATTATTCCGTTGCAATAATAATTTATTATGAGCTATTATATTTCTCTCTATTATTTGAGACCTTTTCTAGTGAGCGAAAGTACCAAAACAGTGTGAAAATAACTTTAGATGAAAATAAATATTTTTAGTTTTAATACACCGTAGCGAAGCACGGGTATTTTGCTAGTAAATAAATAGATGCAGACTGCCAGAAAAAACTTGGTACCAATAGACAAATCCAACAGTACTTATTTAGGCTAAATTAATATTCTGTACCTCATGACTATGATTTAATAGTCAATGATTATTATTGATTCCAAAAGGAACGATCTAATGTGACTCCTTAACGAGCTGTTTTTTTATATATATTTCTCTAATTCGAAACAAGAGCCTGGCTCTTCTTTATTCATTGCTACAACATTTTTTTTGAACGAATCATTACAACAAATTGAAGAGAGTGGAATCAGGCCAACATTAGTTTGACAACCCAGAGAGGAATCATTGGCCAATTACTGCTGTCACTCTTCGTATTACTGATCCTTGTGTTAATAATAGTCATAATATAGTGTTGTGATTGTCATGTCACATGGACTCACGTGCAGGTTACACTACATCATATCAGACAGCCAGCTGCAAACTCGGGGAAGCTATGTAATGCAATGTACTAACCATATGCATTAGTTCGAAAACAAGTCTGACTATGTTATTAGTCGGTTAGCCACATGCTATGTGGTCAAGTCATTTTCAGTAATGACACTTGCAGGAAAAAAAAATGATGATTCGCAAGAAATTTCGGGTGAAATTTCTGCTTAATTAAGTTTTGCACTGTACTGAGCTCGCTAGAAGACAGATGCTTTGCATAGTTTGCTGATAGATAGATTGCTACCAAGACAGTAGTAGAGCTCCATTCTTCTTCCCACTGCTCCTTAACTTTGTCCCCTTTGTGAAGGAGATCGAAAAGCTTGCATTCCATGGCAAATCCATGGAGGATTGCAGCCATGGGCTCTGTCATAACCGTGCTAGGTTGGTTGCTGTCGCCTATCATCAGCTTGCTCGTGAACAGGTTCATCTCCTACCTCTTCGACGCTTCGCCAAAGATCCAAGAGCTGGAGATTCAGACTGTCCCGAAGCTGGAGCAGATGCTGCGAAAGATAGAGGAAGAGAGGATGCACAGGAAAGCGAAGAAGGAGAGATCAGCCGTGCAAAATCTCGACACGCTGGCGAAGCTGGTCAAGTCTGCCTTGTACGAAGCAGAAGACGTCCTCGATCTCATTGCTTATCACCAGATCGAGAAGGATGTCATCGGCGATGACGAGCCACAGGGAAGCAGCAGCAAATGGCATCCGCACATCGACGATGCCATCCACGCTTGCAAGACGAGCTGGATTGGGAGATGCATAACCACTCTACTGGAGTGGGCACAGGGTTTGTATCGATCGCTACGCAGCAGATCAGCTGCGCTGCTACCGATTTCTTGTAGCAGATGCTGCGGGTCAGCTTCTGACTCCTTGCTGGAGCGGCTTAGTTGCTTGTCCAGGCAATTTGATTTCATCAGATGCTGCCAATCCCTGTTCATCTGGTCAGTCAACTGGTTTGAGGTTGCTCGCTCTTATCGAGATTGGTTTTATGATGCAACTGGCATCACAGCCACAGGTTACCAGGTTGGTTACCACTTCTCTGCCCCCTAACACACACACACCCCACCCCAATCTAGCAATGCATCTTCTCTCAATCTAGGGGAATGTTCCTATTTTGCATCAACACTAATACACTATGCAAAAGGAGTTACAATGCACGGGCTATGATCTTGGTAAAATTTATGTCGCGCTCCTCAATTTTATTCGGAAATCAATAGTTGCTGGAATGTGTTAAAGGGTCTTAGTGTTTGAGACACCACTAATGTTACTACATCTAATAGTTCAATTTTTGAAGTAACAAGAAAAAATTTCCATGTTCTAAACAGAAGCACTAATTTAGAAGAAAACAACATCTATTATTAATCAGGGGACAACAGTCGTCAGAGAGTAGAACTAGTTCAGTATATATATATTTTTTAAGGAAGTTCAGTATGTAGCTCACATGGTCCTGTTCTTTTGTGCTGAATGGCTAAATTGGTTGAATAGCTCAATGATTAAAGATAATTATTCAAGTGTACATACGAATTGAATTGATACTATAAAGTGGAAATGGATTTAAAAGAGTTTCCTAATAAATTCGTATATAGAAAGTGTTCGCAAAAAATGCACCATTTAGGAGCTTGGAAAGTATGCACATTCCTCCACCATTCCATTCTAATCATTTTTTTTGTTCTTTATTCTTCCAGCTGGAGGATGGTACAGCAGTATATTCTTTCATGCCTGCTATTGCTAGATGGAAATTGAGGAAAAGAATAGAGAAACTAGAAAACACTGTCACAAACGTGGAGAACTCTCCCTATTTAACACAGACAAGCAGTGGTGCCTGGAATGATATTGTCAACATGAACAGGAGAAGCATTACATCGAGTAGTACACGCAAGGTATTCGGTAGAGACCGGGAGCGTGATATGATAAGAAGTATGCTTCGTGAGGATGATTCTTTACCAAGCTCCAGTAGCAGGAAATGTTATTCTGTAATTTGCATATATGGCATTCCAGGGTCTGGAAAGACTACACTGGCACAGTATGTTTGTGAGTATGAAAAGGAGGATAAAGATAGATACTTTGACACAGTCATGCTAATTTATGTTTCTAAGACTTACAGACTGGAAGATATATTTCGTGATATGCTCGAGGAGATCACGCAAAGCCGGCATTCTGAAATTAGTGACTGCAGAGGTTTGGAAGCAAAATTGGTGGAGAATTTGAGAGGCAAACGGTTCTTGTTGGTACTGGATGATCTGTGGGTCAATGATGAGAATCATGAGAAGCTGCTTTCTCCACTCAATGTTGGGAAGTCAGGAAGCAGAATCCTGGTGACAGCCCAGAGTAAAGAGGCAGCTCTAGGCTCTAATAGGCTTATTCCAATATCTGATCTGGAAGAGGAGCAATACTTCTCAATGTTCATGCATTATGCACTTGACAGTACAATTTTCGATGATCGAGAATACATACCGATTGGGAGGAAAATCGCTAAGAAGCTGAACAGATCACCTATTGCAGCAGTGACAGTGGCAGGTCAGCTCTGGAGAAACCCAGATATCAGATTTTGGCAAACAACCGCGAACCTCGATGTGCTGAATAAGACCAAGGGAGCTCTTTGGTGGAGCTATAATCAACTTGTTGTGGATGTCAGGAGATGCTTCCAGTACTGTAGCATCTTCCCCAGAAGGTATGAGCTTGAACGTGACAATCTTGTTCGTATGTGGATAGCGCAAGAATTTGTGAAGGACAATGATGGAAACAATGAGGACGTAGAAGATGTTGGTCAGTCCCTCTGACATTAGCACCGGTGAGTACTTCACAGTTCATGACATGTTCCATGAATTAGCGAAGACGATCGCGGGAAGCGACTGCGTCAAGATCGAGAAAAGCATCACGGAACATCTTCCTAAATGTTAGGAATTTCCCCAGCGATCACTAGCAGGAAACCAGACGAACACAACACACGCGTACTGTGGCTAAACCTGCAAATTCGCAGAACAGAGGAAACAGAGCAAATTTTGTGCAGCGCTTAACTCAGCTGCTTTTCTGTTTACTTCCATATATAAAGGAACGAATACAACGGAAACAACTAACCACCAAGACCACTTCTCACGCCATGCTCTAGCTGCGTCCATCCCCACAACCACACGACGTGATCCGAGCTCCCAGCACAAGACGCGGGCAACGAGCTAAACTCGGATACCCTCATAACAGACTCCACACGATGGCTATCACACAACACGTGAGCTCATGCGTTTATTCAGAAAAAAACGTAAACATGCAGATAACTAATCAACTAACTAACCGTGGCACACAAGATTACTGCTAACAAAACTCTCCCTAAGCTTGATGTGCCGATTATACAGGAAACATACCAATTTGTTCCCACAGCTCCTGAAACTTGATTCGAGAAAGCGGCTTCGTCAGGATATCTGCAAGTTGCCCTTCTGTGCCGATGTAACTCGGTGTGATTTCCCCATTCTCCACGGCTTCACGAATGAAATGTAATTTTGTTTGAATGTGCTTACTTCGATCGTGAAAAACAGGGTTCTTCATCAGGGCCAGAGCGGATTGGTTGTCCACCCTGAGATCGACGACTTCAGTTGCTGCATTCCTGAGGTCACCGAGGAGCCGGGCAAGCCAAATGCCCTGGCATGCAGCTGTTGCAGCTGCAATATACTCAGATTCACAGGAGGAGAGTGCTACAACTCTCTGTTTTTGAGACTGCCAGCTAACAGGATTTTTGCCGAGAAAGAAAATTACTCCTGTGGTGCTCTTGCGAGTGTCAATGTCTCCAGCCATATCACTGTCACTGTAACCCTGCAGTCCTCCTTCACCTTCCTTCACATAGCGGCACCCAAGATGAATGGTACCAGCAACATACCTTATGATGCGCTTCACTGCCGCCAAGTGTTCGTCCGTGGGTTTCTCCATGAAACGACTGACATAACCAACCGAATATGCAAGGTCTGGTCGGGTGTTCACCAGATAGCGCAAGCTTCCCACTAGACTTCTGTATTCTGTCGCATCAACTAGCGATCCTGCACTTTCCTTGCTCAGCTTTAGACGTGGTTCCATCGGTGTTGCACAGGGGTTGCAGCCGGTGAGCCCAGCCTTCTCCACAATACGCGACGCATACGCTGCTTGCTTTAAAGTGATGATTCCAGCTTCTTGATGTACCTCGATCCCAAGATAAAAACTCAAAGGACCAAGATCACTCATCTTAAATTCAGCCTTCATCTGCTCTTTGAATCCCTTGATCATGCCACTGTCACCCCCGACAATTACCAGATCATCCACATACACACCGACGAGCAGTCGCCCACTGCCATCGCCGCGCGCGTACAGCCCATGCTCCAACGGGCTCTGCTTGAAGCCAAGTTTCTTCAGTGTGCAGTCTAGCTTGGTGTTCCAAGCTCTGGGTGCTTGGCGAAGTCCATACAGCGCCTTATCAAGCCTGTAAACCTTGTTCTCCTGTCCATCGATCTCAAACCCCGGTGGCTGAACAACATACACCTCCTCAATCAGTTCCCCATTGAGGAACGCTGATTTAACGTCCATATGATGCACCATCCAACCTTCCTGCGCAGCGAGAGCGAGCAACAAACGAACAGAATCAAGACGAGCAACAGGAGCGAATACCTCATCAAAGTCAATTCCAGCCCTCTGCACGTAGCCCTTTGCCACCAATCTCGCCTTGTGTTTGACGACGACGCCCTGAGCATCTTTCTTCAGTTTATACACCCATTTCAGCCCAATTGGCCGATGTCCCGAAGGCAGATCGACGAGCCTCCAGGTCTTGTTCTCCTCTATCGAAGAGATTTCATCGAGCATTGCCCGACGCCAATCCTCGTCGCGTTCAGCTTGAGCGAACGTTGCCGGTTCTTCTCCGCTCACCATCATCAGCTCTTCCTGGACCTCACGATTAGCGAGACCTGGCAGCATGGCCAGCCCCAGCACATTGTCCATCGTGCGGAAACGGAGTGGTGCGTCGTCGTGGTCTGCATCAAGATTAGCAGCTGCTCCAGTTGGTGGCGACACAAATTCAACCGCCGGCGCATCGCCATGCACCGAAGGTGTTCGGCCGGCTGTCGGTGAGTCTGATGGCGTTCGCGGCGATGATGAAGATCGAGCAGGCGGCTCCCCAGCGTCTTGGCGTGTTCCTGACAGCGAGCCAGGATGGTACACCGTGGTGTACTCAACGACGAAGTCGGTGTCGAGATCAGCGGCCGCCTCAGCATCCCAGTCCCACTGGGCCGCTTCATCGAAGACGATGTCACGGGAGATGTGAACACGCCGAGTAGCCGGATCATAGCCGCGATACGCCTTGGACCCCGGCTCGTAGCCGACAAAGATCATTGGACGACTCCTGTCATCCAGTTTCTTCAGGTTCGGGGTGGTCGTCTTCACGTGTGCCACACACCCAAACGTGCGCAGATGGTGCACGGCCGGCGGAACGCCGTTCCACAGCGCGTACGGGGTCTTGCCGCCGATACCCTTGGACGACGACCTGTTGAGCAGATACACGGCGGTATTTATCGCCTCTCCCCAAAACATACCTGGCAGCCCCTTCGCCTTGAGCATACTCCGCGCCGTGCCCACCACGGATTGGTTTCGCCGCTCGACAACGCCGTTCTGTTGCGGAGAGTAGGGCGCCGTGAGCTCGCGCCGCATTCCCAGCTCGGCGCAGTACTCGGCGAACTGTGTAGACGTGAATTCTCCCCCGCGATCCGTCCGCAACGCGCGGAGCTTGCGTCCACTCTTCCTTTCTGCCGCCGCCTGAATACGCTTGATGGCAGCCGGCGCCGCATCTTTGGTGGAGAGGAGGGCGACCCACATGTACCGGCTGTAGTCGTCGACGAGTAGAAGGAAATAGCGGTTGCCACTGGGTGTCGCCGGCGTGATCGGTCCACAGAGATCTCCATGCAGCAGTGCCAGCGGCTCGTCAGACCGGCAAAGTGCCTGCCGCGGGAACGGCGACCTCCGGTGTTTCCCGGCGAGACAGGCCTCACAGACCTGATCAACCTGCGACAAACATGGTAGACCACGTACCAGCTCCTCCTTGCCCATCTTGCAGAGCGCCCTGAAGTTTATGTGCCCGAGGCGAGCATGCCAGCGCCACGCGTCTTCGTCGGCGTGTGCCGCCAAACAGACCGGGCGCGCCAGGTTGATGTCAAGCATGTACAGTCGCCCTGGGGTGCGAGGGATCCGGGCAAGCAGACGCCGCTGCTCATCCCAGACCCGCATGATGCCATCCTCCGCCAGCACTTTGAAGCCGGTCTCATCCAATTGCCCAATGCTGATAATATTGGCAGCAAGACGGGGAAGAAAATAGGTGTTCGACAGAGTGCGGTGCTCACCATTCTTGCAGGCAAAGAGAATTGTGCCCCGTCCTGCGATCCGGACCACGGATCCATCGCCGAGTCGCACGTTCCAAGTGATGTTCGTGTCGAGGTCGGCGAACGCCATCCTGCTGCCCGTCATATGGTTTGACGCGCCGGAATCCATAATCCAGCGCCCGGGATCATGGTCAGCCGCGTCGTCGAGCGCTGCAAATACTTTCATCTCCACGAGTTCCACCACGGCTTGGTGGGGCGGTGTGGGCGTGTCGCCCTCCGGCGCCGCCGCGTCGACCGTGTCAACGCAACCGCCGGTGAGCAACATCAAGGTGTGCTCTTCTTCATCCTCCTGGGCGACGTGAGCCTGTTCTTCGCGCTTGGACTTGCTCCTGCAGTCCTTCGCCCAGTGCCCAAGTTTGCCGCAATTTCGGCATTTGTCTCCCTTGCGCGCCGAACCAGAGTTCGTGCTCTCGGGGCTCGCAGTCCCGCCGCCACCAGTGCGCCCTCTCCCGCCACGGCGCTTGCCGCGGCCGCCAGAGCCGCCCGAGTCACCCCGCTTTGCCTCTTGATCCTTCTTCTTCTGACGTTCAGCCCACTCCTCCTCAGTTAGGTACAGCTTCCCACCGGCGGTGTGCGACGAGGATTGCCCAGAATCCTCAGCGGCTTTCAGTCTGCCAGTAACTTCCTCCATGGACAGAGTAGAGATATCGAGAAGAGTTTCAATAGACAAGATGAGTTGATTGAACCTGGGACGAGCTACCCGAAGGTACTTTTCGACGACTTTATCAGCAGGTTCAGGATCACCGAGGGTTGCAAGCTGGTTGACGATGGTTGTGAGCCGTAGAGCGAAATCTTCCACGGTCTCATCACCGCGGAACGCAAGCGATTCATACTCAGCGCGCACTTTCTGTGCACTCGCCTTGCGAATCCGGTCGTTGCCGACTCGCATTGTCTTGATGCATTCCCAGGCTTCCCGGGCCGACGCTTTGGTCGCCAGGGTGCCAATCATCTCCGGCGGCACGGCACTGCAGATAGCGTCAAGAGCCATCCGGTCCTCATGCAGAGGGACGTCCACGCCGTCGGGCTCGATCGCCGCCCACAGGCAGCGAGCCTGCAGCTTGATCTTCATCAGTAGCGCCCAGTCGTTGTAGTTGGTCTTGGTCAGCAGCGGGTAGTTCACCGAGCCGCCTCCTTCTTTCACCACGCGGTGGATCACCAGCCCGCGGTCACCCCCGCCGCTGCCCGTGGCGCGGCCGCCGGAGTCATGAGGAGTGTGCACGATCGGTGACGACGAGCGACGACGCGGCAAGAAGACGCCTTCCAATGCGCGGTCACGAGTCCACTTCCTAAACCGTGCTCTGATACCAATTGTTAGGAATTTCCCCAGCGATCGCTAGCAGGAAACCAGACGAACACAACGCACGCGTACTGTGGCTAAACCTGCAAATTCGCAGAACAGAGGAAACAGAGCAAATTTTGTGCAGCGCTTAACTCAGCTGCTTTTCTGTTTACTTCCATATATAAAGGAACGAATACAACGGAAACAACTAACCACCAAGACCACTTCTCACGCCATGCTCTAGCTGCGTCCATCCCCACAACCACACGACGTGATCCGAGCTCCCAGCACAAGACGCGGGCAACGAGCTAAACTCGGATACCCTCATAACAGACTCCACACGATGGCTATCACACAACACGTGAGCTCATGCGTTTATTCAGAAAAAAACGTAAACATGCAGATAACTAATCAACTAACTAACCGTGGCACACAAGATTACTGCTAACACTAAACACGTTCGACATCTTTGCATCGAGTCACAGTGAAATATTGTTCCCAGAGAAGATTTTGGAGCTTAAAAACTTGAGAACTCTTATCATGTGCTATTCAGTAGAGGGAATGAACCAAGATGATTTTGAGCGTGTGCTGAAGAAGCTAACAAAGTTGAGGGTGGTGCACTTGGATTTGAGACATTTGAGCAGGGTGCCACCATGCATCGGTGGACTGAAACATCTTCGTTATCTTGGCATCATGTCACCTCCTCCCCACAGCCTGATTCTGCCGGCTGAATTTTCCAAGCTTTACCATCTTCAGGAGCTCTCTGTCAATCCTAACACTCGCTTGCATTGTCCATCCCAGCTGAAGATCGCCAACCTGATCAACCTGAGGTACATGCTGACATGGTATGGCCTGAACATTCCTGATGTTGGGAAGCTGACATCTCTCCGAGCTCTGTATCACTTCTACGTGAGGAAGGAGAAAGGATACGAGATACAGCAGCTGGAGCACCTGAACAACCTTCGTGGCAAGCTGTTCATCGACTGCATCGAGAATGTTCAGAGCAAGGAGGAAGCTGTTCGAGCCAGGCTATCTGACAAGGTATATCTCACTGAGCTGACGCTACGGTGGGGTGGCACTGACGAACGCTGCTCGAAGAAAGCGTTGGAGTCATACAAGAAGCTGTTCTTTCCACCTGTAACAGAGATCAAGCAACATCAACCTCCAGAACTTCAGGAGGAGGTTCTTGAGGGGCTCCGTCCACCGTCGGGGATTACAGTACTTTGCATCAGGGATTACGGTGGTGTGATATACCCAAGCTGGTTGACAGGAGACGGTTGCGACAAGGAACAGGAACAAGATCGCCCGGCATTGCAGAATCTTATGTTCTGGAGTTGCAAGGGATCGAGTGATCCCCCAAAGATTGGTGAATTCTTCACCTGCCTGCATACACTGTCAGTTACAGACTGCAGCTGGAACTATTTGCCTGTCAAATTGTGCCGCCTGAAAACACTCAGGGAATTGATCGTCCAGGAGTGTCCCAACATGATGACACTGCCCAAGCTTCCCCAATCGCTCAAGAGCATTGTAATCTCTGGTTGCCACCCTTCTCTTGCGGACACCTGTCTGACCCCTGGACATCCAAATTGGCGAAGGATTAAGCATATCGATCAGCAAATAATCCGTTGATTAATCATCTTGATATACTGCATACGGCACAGCATTTGTGGCGACGTCCAGATTAGCTAAACATAGCATCCACTGCATGTAATTGTAAGCTATCATTCTGTTTCAAGTTCCATCTGTACCTGTATTTATTATTGTTGTTGTTTTAAAACCATTGGTGCAAATAGTTTTGCACGTCTAGCATGTACCGCACGGGTGTGCAGATGAATCATCCATGCCATTGCCCTCATTTCTCCTGTTAATTTACTACTACTATCATGAACTATCACGCGTTTGAATAAGAATTACTAGATCATAGGGGCCTACCTACATGTAATTTGCCAGAAAACCTGCGTCCAAATCTTGCAAATTTTAGACCATTAGATCACAATCCAACTGCTCAGATCACATCCAAACCTCCATAATCCTCTTCCTATCGTTCTTCGCCCGCATCCTTTAATTTCCTTCCACTTGCGTTCTTCGCTCGCGTCTACGCCAGAGGGACAGACTGATGAGGTGTCCTCGCCCCCACCATTCTCCTTCGTCTCCGGTGACAAGAGCTACCGCCTAACAGAGTTAACAAATAATCCAGGTCTATCAGGATAAACGGACAAGAATCAGATCATACTCCAAGCCCTTCAGTTAACTTTAGGAAATCCATCACATCTTTTAATATTAATTAATCGGTCGCTCTGCATAAATCCAAGCTATTGGAAGGTTCAACTTAAAGAGAAATTGTTGTTACAATTTAGCAAACTGGCGCAAAAGAAAAACAAAAGACTAGTGTTTTACATAGCGGGATAATCTACGCGTCATATTCCGCACTAGAAAACTTGTTCTCAGGGTAGAACACTGCAACAACTGGATTTCCACCGAACTTCCTTCCATGCATTGCCGTCTTTGCTTTGGTGGCGCCGTCCACATCTGCATACTCCAAGAAAACCTGGATGGAAAGGTCGTACATTAGAAAGATTACAGACGCTCTTCAATGTTTGTGCGATGCAATACACAAGACTTACCTTTCCAACTCCAGCAACTGGTAATCCACTAGGATCAGGGCGAGGGATGACAACCTTAATCAGATTACCTAAGGAAGATACTTGTGAGTAAACAAAAGGGAGAAAACACCTAGGAAGACCAACTAAATAAACAAAAAGTATCAATCGAGGCAAAAGGAATCCGAAAACATGCATAAACTCTCAACGCAAGAAGATACATATGGGGTTTTAGCCCAGCAGATGATCAAACTAAACCGGAGTTTAGAGGCAAGGGAGGAAATTGCGGGTGAGAAGTTGGAAATTACCATATTTGCCTGCTTCCAATCTCATGTCCTCCATAATGTCTTCATACTCCTCGTCATCTTTTAATTCATCAGCCGAAACCACCTGGGTCAGGCACACAACCTTTGTAGGGAGTGCTCCAACTTGATATACAAGTTTCTGTTAAGAAGCACAGAGTCAAAATGCAAGAATCACAATACAGCTACAAAATAGTTGGCATAAGAAAGTAAAATTATCTGATACTGGATGAAAAATAGTTGAGACCTATACCTGTAATTGCACTTGTTGCTGTGCCTGCAACAGGATACTTTCCTGTTCTGGTCTAGGCTGAGCCGCTCCCTGGTTTGCCCTTCTAACAGTTAGGGTTTTGTCTCCCATCTTGATGCCATTCAGAGCAGCACAGGCTATGTCAGTGACATTGAGATCTTGGTAGACACAGAATGCATAGCCCTTTGAGTTACCAGTTTCCCTATCCTTCACAAGGTCAAATCCTCGAAGAGGCCCAAAGGATTCAAGCAACTCCCGGACTTGAGCCTCAGTGAAGTAATATGGAAGGCCACCCACGAAAATACGATCTGGGCCTTCTAGCCCTCCAGCTGAACCAGGTGTTAAGCCAACTGCAGCAAGATTCAGATTGGGGCTTGGCTGGCTGGGGCCCAAGGCAGCTGCCAGAGAAGGGTTATAGTCTGTTGGTCTCCTAACCTTCACTGGAGCCCCTTCAAACAAAATGCCATCCAGTGCCATTGCATTGCTTGCTTCCTCCACAGACCTCATTTCCACAAAAGCAAATTTCTTGTCATGGTTTATGTAGACATTAAGAACAGCGTCACCTGGACCAGCAGTATTTCCTCCAATAGCAGCCATGACTTGATTAAAGTATATTGCAACTGACTGCAGTAAAGGAAACTAATGTAACAATTCCACAGTAATATGTTGCATGCGGGTACACACTCGTGCACTCCCATACGGCTTTTGGTTTGGGTATGGGAAATGGGCAGTAAGAAAGAATGAGTGATTAAATACACAGACCTGTTCATTAGCAGTTGGAGGAAGTCCACCAACATAAACACGTCTCGCGTGTCGAGTAGCCTGAGAGAAAAAGGTGTTAACACATTATTTTGTTGACATCCTTATCAATAATAGATGCAGTAGATGTCACAACAACTCATACCTGTTGCGTCATTGCTTGCGGCTGGATAACAAGGGGATTGAACTGCTTCAAACAAAATTTATTATTACAGGCAAATAAAAATTATTTACAAACATAAATAAAAAAATGATTCTTTTGGCACTTATAATACATTAAAATACTGACAGGTTACCTGTCCAACACCCATCGGGAGCATGTTTGGAAACATTCCAGGAATAGCAGTGCCCGGAAACTGACCTGCAATTTATCAATAAATTTCTAGTACAGAGCATAAACAATTAGCAAGGAAAAAAATTCCACCATTAGAACTGACTAGTTCTCACCATCAGTCTGGGTCTAAAATAGATCTAGCTGTTCAGTATCCAAGCCTAAGAATGAACAAAATATGTGCAAGGACAAATATAATAGACATAATGCTAGCAACCAGTAATACTTGCTAGTTGAAGACGAATAAGATGGTATCAAACCAGAGCACTGATTCCTCCTTGTACATTAAAGCTACAGTAGGCAGCTCATTCCATTGGCAGCAGTGGGGGCAAGTAACCCAAGATTGCCTTCTTACCATACACATACACAAAACAGACAAACAACAAAAGAACACAAGCAAAAAAGTTTTGCTCAGTTTCCAGTTACCAAGTAATAATAAAATGGAAACTTACAAGTTATTCACTTATTCATATTAGTAACTATCACATGAAGTGCATCTGCAGCAGATAGGTGCCTGAGGGGTGCTTACGGAGCCCACTGGTTGGTATTCTTTTTTATCCTTTAATTAAAGCACCAATGTCTCTCCAAATGCATCATGTAGACTACTATAAAATAACAATTTGCTTGTTCTCCTGTCCTCTTACTATTATGTGTAGAATGCTCAAGGCCGATCATACTAAGCAAATATTAACTGTATTGGAGTTCTACTAGGTATAACATCCAGACATATCCACCAATTTACTAGGTATAACACCAAGCATCATCCTGCTACGGCAATAATCGACCTTAATGGACTAGTAATTCACCGGTAGTTTATGGCAACGGCAATAAGATAGTGTGGCATTATACAGTGATAAGGATGAAGAATTATAGCGGCCGAAGATATAATTCATTCTAAAAAAAATACTCATGTACATCAATCATCCAGCCCAGCAAAATTATTTTTCTTAACTCCATTGTTCAAATGTCCCACTAAAATTATTATTCAGAAAAAGTGCCACAAATTGACGAGGAAAAGAAAAATGAAATTGAGCCGTTTAACTTAGTTGATGAGAGCATACTTGGGGTTGGAATAGCAGGAAATTGTGGAACCACAGCTTGAGCTGGAGGCGCCATATCAAATCCACTAACTCGCTTGCTGCTTTAGAAAAATAGTTTAGTAGATATTAGTGGTTAGTGATAAAATAAAACTTAAAAAGTAAAGCTGAATAACACATAAAATTAGCATATTTAACAAGTTATAAACCGGTCATCAATGAGAACCAGATTAAGAAGACTAAGCCAGTAAACCATACTGCCATACATATTCAAATACGAATTGTACATGTCTGAATTTGATAATACACAAAGAAAATATCAGGAAAATAATCCATGCAGAGAAAGCATATATAAAGTATGTCCAAAATTGCTACTATATGGAATAAACAATTTAACTAACCATGACGGAAAACATAGTATGTGCACGGCAGCTAAAGAAGATGCAAATGGAAGACTATGCAAGGAGCTTCCTTTACATACCTTTTTGAACGAGAGCGAGACCTAGATCTGCGATCCCTGCCCCTAGAACGAGAGCGTGAGCGAGACCGATGCCTGCGACGCCCATCCCGTTCATGGTCTCTTCTCCTGTATTAAATATAAACCACAAGATTGGTGTGGGCATTTGACTAATCATGTAGGCATGTATAAGACAGTTGAATAGCTCTAAATCTAAAAGCATTTAACACATTTGATAAAATGCATTCATTGCAAGGATGCATGGTTTGTAAGAAATAAGGTGCATATAAAACAGAACTCCCTTAACAAAGAATACCTTTCAGAATCACGGCTTCTGTGGCGATCATGATCATCAGAGCGATCTCTGTGTTCTCTTCTTTCACGGTGATGCCTATGGTGGCGATCCCGATCCTTGTCCCTGTCCCTATCCCTGTCCCTTTCTTTGTCTCTGTCTTTTTCCTTGTCCTTGTCCCGATCTCGGTCTCTTCCTCGATCTCTGTCACGGTCCCTGTGGCGTTCCCTGTCCTTGTCTTTTTCTCTTTCTCTATCTTTATCTCTTGGTTTTGATAATCCGTCTTCACGTGAATGCGTATCGCCCTGGACATTCACATTACACAGAGACACAATAAATATATATAGTTCTTGGCGGAAGGAAAAAATAGGTAAACATGGAAGAATTGCGACATGCTCCCAATAAATGCACAATATGAGCAATCAAACGAAGAAATACCTTTCATTTATCAAGCAACTTTGATGGTTACATTAAATGGTTGTATAATTAGGAAATATAGATGTACATTTATAGAACATACCAAAAGTTGCACGTGCCTATTCAATTAGTTTCAGAGAAAGCGAAGTGTGACGGTAACTATTTATATGTTAAAATTTTCTGATTCTGAGTGCAGATGGTTATTTGACAGGAAAACATTCAGAGTAATTAAAAAAAAGGGCCAACAAAAAGACTCATTACTTTCCTGCTTTCGTCGATCAGCCAAACCCTCTTTTCCATAATAAACTACATAATGCTCATCACTCTCAACACCCAATTTGACCAAACAAGCTAATGAACAGCCAGAAACATAAGTCCTTGGCGTGGCGTAACGGATCAATACTGCCGGCCCCACTCAAACCACATTATCCCCCAAAGCAAGCATATCCAAAAACCCTCCTTGTATGCACCAATCCCACAACTCCATCTCATACCTACCGACCATATCTTCGGCAAACGAATCTACTGCATGACGCCAAGGCAACCCAAGGAGGCAGTAGAATTTGACACCAAGGAGCACCAGCACACCAACATGAGAACAACCAAATACGCAAAAACTCCTGCCCCACGGGAGGCCGTCGGCTCCCCCCCTCCCCCCCCCCCCCCCCCCCCGATTCAGTCCGCCGAATCTGCATCGAGCGAACCCCACCCCTAAAGCCCCACGCCAGCGGAACAACCCCCTCGGAGAACACTAGTAAGCCCTAGGAGAAGCCACGCCCTAGGGGCCTTCACGAGCGACAGCCCTAGCTACGCACAGATCGATCGAGAGCCATCGGAGGGCTTCACGGCCCCCCAAGGCTCGGCACCTAGATGGGAACTCCCCCTCACAGGACAGACAGACAAGGGAGGAGGGAGCAGAGGGGATCACCTCGGGGCGTCCGCCGTCGACGAGGTCGGCGGCGGCGGCGTGGTCGTCCGCCATGGCGCTTTGGGTTGGCTGCGGCGTGGAGGTGGAGGGGGGCTCGTGGGGTTTCTCTTCTCTTGGGGGCTCGCGACCTCTCCTTGTACGGAGGGTGCTCTCTCTCGAAGCCGCTTCTTTAGATGGGCCGGCCGGGCCCGGCCCATCTATACGTACGGGGATGTACTTCTTCACGGGAAAAAGTCCACTTAGACTCCCTTAATTGTTCACCGAATCTAATTTGTGACCCTTAATCGGTGAACAATTAAGGGAGTCTAAGTGGACTTTTTCCTTCTTCACGTGGTCCTACTACCCCTCAGCCCATCTATACGTATGGGCCGGAATTCGTCCACTACATTAAATGCATTTCCGGTGGAAAGGTTGGTTTGAACTTTGAAGGCCCTTAGTTTGGCATACATTGTGTTATGTTTAAATCATACAGTATTAGTGTTCCATAAAAAAATGTTCCCTTGATGAATTACATACCAATGAAACTGAAAGTTCATTTTAAATTGTATCATTATTACATAACAATAAATTATGAAAGTTGTTACTTTAGATAAATTTATATAATTTGACTAAAACGTCATAACATATCTACATTGATAGTTTAATTTCAAGTACTCTAGTTTTATAAAAAAAAAATACTCCAACTACTTAAAGAGGGAGTTGCCCTCTTAACCGAATAAAAACCTATATCTCACAACTACTTAAAGAGGGAGTTGTCTTCTTCTATCAATCCATCCTCCATTTCTACTTAAACATATCTTACCTCTCATAAAAAAACATCCATCCTAAAAAACCAATTTCTAATTAAAAAAAGCCCGGTCACTTTATAAAAACCGATGGTCTACTCGGTCCAATTTTTTCTACTAAACTGGATAAAAAACCGTTGCAACGCAGGGGACATAACTAGCTAGAAAGCTAACGCGTGATCGATCACGCGCGGCTATCAGCCCAGTTTACACATATATACCCAAAGTTTATAGGGTAAAAGTTTATATACTCGCTTCAAATTCGAATTTGAATTTGGATTCAAATATATTTTTATATAGAATATTTCTATACATAAAGTCTATATATTTATAATTTATAAGTGTAAAGTTTATTCACATGAATATGTTTTCAAGTGTATTAGATTTCTTTTATATTTTTTAAATGGTTTGAAATTTCATAGTGTGGTAGGAAGAGGATAAAAGGGGAGACGTGTGCGTGTTAGGGGAGGGATGGGGGTGCTGATCGCCCAAGGCGATCACCCGCCCATTAGGCTAGCCCTATAACTAGTGTATACAAAATTACACGCTCTTTATTTACGTTGTACTCATAAGAAAGGGAAAAACACACGATTTGTGCAATGAACTGGTGCATAATTCGTGTAAAAACGTCCATAATTAGACCGTGTTCTTCCCCTAGTTTTCCCAACTCACCTCTTTCGTTTTCCACACACACGCTTTTCAAACTGGTAAACGGTGTATATTTTTTAAAAAAAATTCTATACGAAAGTTGTTTTAAAAAAATATTAATCATTTTTTTAAAAAATAGTTAATACTTAATTAATCATGCAATAATACGTGCTTCGTTTTGTGTGCCGAGAGATCACGGCCTTAATCAGCAGCTCAAAACAAAGCATGTGCGCGACACACATAAGGAATAGAAACCTGGCGTGCGTGCAAGGGTCACTGTGCACGAATGAATGTCACTTGCATGACACTACCGAATGAAATGCAAAGGGCATAAAAATGACAAGGGAATAAAGCCTAAAATATGACTAGACGATCAAGTAATACATATATGCCATGATTGTGACACACGCTCGATCGATCGATCAGCCCTCTATATAAATGCATGCATAGAGCCATGCCATCGTGTGTATTATTGCTCAAAGATTCACCTCGATCGATCACCCGATCAACAGTAGCAGATCAATGGCGGCTCCGGCGGTGGCCGGTGGAAGTAGCCAGCAAAACCTCACTTCTTCCAGCGGCAGCAGCGACGACAAGCAGCCGTCGTCGTCGTCGCCAATGGAGTGCCAGCTGAAGAAGTACCTGGTGCTGCTGGCCACCCTGGTGGCGACGGTGACCTACGCGGCGGGGCTGAACCCGCCGGGTGGCTCGTGGCTGGAGGACGGCGGCGGCGGCGGCCGGTGGCAGCTGGCCGGCGACGCCATCCTACAGGACACCAACTACTGGCGCTACATCGTCTTCTACTGGTTCAACGCCATCTCCTTCGCGGCGTCGCTGGTGGTGGTCAGCCTCCTCTTCCTCCTCCTGCACAAGGGCCGGCCACCACCAGCACCAGGGGACCAAGCTGCTCACGCTCACCCGGGCGGTGATGGTGGTCGACCTGCTCGCCCTCATGGGCGCCTACGCCGCCGGGACCAGCCATGACAAGTTCACCACCATCGGCGCCGCCGCGCTCGTCTCCGCCACCGCCGCCTATGTCATCGTCTTCATCGTCCCAACCCTCACGGCGAAAACGACACCGCCGCCGCCGTCGGGATCCTGATGTTGATCGCCATCTTCGTGGCGACCGACGCCTATGTAGCTGGGCTCAACCCACCCGGCGGCTTCTGGCGGAGCACCGAGGCCGCCGGCGACCCGGTGCTGCCGGGCCTCCATCCAATCCGGTACAAGTTCTTCTTCTTCTCCAACGCCATCTCCTTCATCGCGTCCCTGCTCGCCATCACGTTCAACGTGTACTACGAGAAGCTTGACCTCAAGCGCATCAAGTTCCCGCTGTACGGGCTCACCGTCACGGCGATCTTGGGACTCGGCGGCGCCTACGCCGCCGGGAGCTGCAGGGACAGCAGGCACACCGGCTATGTTCTTGGCCTGATTGTCCCGGTTCTTGTCTGCATCTTTCTCCAGTGGTTTCTTGTAGGATCTAATGCCATCAGTCTCCCTTTTGGTACCAGGTACGCAGTATTCATCTTCATCATGCATTTCTAATGCCATGCCTAGCCTTTTTTTAATTTTTTTTATCTTTTCTTGTTACTTTTTTAAAAAAAAGTCACAACCGCGCGCTCCAAACCTGAATTGCATTCAAATAATTTAACAAAAGTCTGAAAGCAAAACTTCTTTGTCCTTAATAAAAATCATTATGGTATGATTAGATTCATATTTCGAAACATTTTCCAATGATGTCAATTTCAAGATCATGAGCAATATAATATAAAATACAATGGTCAAAGTGTAGGATATATAAAACCACATTAGGTCAAAAACATACATACCCTACATTTTTCCTTGCTTCATGTAGTACATTTATATGCAGGAGAGAGTCCAAATATCACCCTAAACTTTGATTGAAACACCAGGAGAGAAATCACCTTTAATATCAGTTGAAAACCGCCATTAATCCCGATTATAGCAACCGTGACAAAAAATCGAGACTAAAGATCTCGATCTGAACCGGTACTAAAGATGTATACCCATTAATTCCAGTTAGCAACCGTGACAAAAAAAAATCAAGACTAAAGAACCGGTACTAACGATGCAAACCAAGTCAAAAAAAAAATATGTGGGATGTGGGAATCAAACTCAAGATATCTCACTTCAGCCCTCACGCGTGTTACGATCCCACCTACCTTACACATTTGACTTGAATAGAGATGATTTCCTTTTGAACTAACTCAGGAGGCATCTTTAGTAAAAATATCTTGAATATGGGTTGGTGTTACCTACTAGTACTAAAAATACATCTTTAGTACCGGTTGATAATATCAACGGGACTAAAGATCCATCAGCATTAATCTCGATTGGTGCTAACACCGGTACTACAGATGTATTTTTAATACCGGTTGATAACACCAACCGGTACTAAAAATGTTTCTAGGGACTTGGGCTTTTAGAACCGGTACTAAAGAGATTTAGTAACGCTTCTTAATCCATCCGAGGTATTTGTATGTTTGGGGCATTGGATAAAAGATGAGTTCTCTAGTAGTAAAAGTCTATCTAGCACCCTAAACTTCGAAAACGGACATACAACTCTCTGAACTTTATAGTACTATTTATATAACCCGATAAGATGTTTTTAATCTAATTTGTATATAAGTTGAATGAGTTTGATCACGTGACATATACATTAGATATACATGCTAAGATCTTCACTTAAATATCCCTTCTTTAATTTGTACCCTTTATTCAATCTCACTTACAAAATGAGTATCAACATAATAATAATATGGCACCACTATATAATATAAATTGATGTCCTACTAACTAATCATATTTAAATATGTATATTAGTTATTCAAAACCACTCGTTTAAGCCTTCAAATATGCAAAAACACCATCCAAAACCACCTTAGAGAGTAATATACATGGTATTACAAAGTTTAGGAGAATGGGTGTTTGATTTTAAAGTTCAAGGTGCTTGACGGATTTCCATCCAAAGTTTAGGGGGGTATTTGAACTTTTTCCTTATGTAAAGATATATGGAAAACGATCATAGATTTATATTGTGTATTGTAGGAAATGATTTTACTTAGAAATATTTGAAAACTGTAAAACTATAATAAACGAGCACATGCTCACTGAGAACCATTGATAGGTAAAGAAACTGGTACGGTAAAAGAAAAAAAAGGTCCATGGACTCAATGGTGTCTTGCTCCCAAAAGTATGTAGACATGAGCCTTACAAAATGAGCCTATCACTAGAACTATTTCACTATTAACATCTATACTTTATTGTACCAGTTTTGCTTGAACATGATCATAGATCCACAAAGCACATGCTCATCGAGAACCATTGATCTAGGCGACATGTTTGTTCTCCCTTCGAAAGGCTGATAGCAACCGAGCACGCATAGCGTTAGTCTTGTCCTCGAGTCTATGGGTTGGAGTCGCCAACTTGCAGCGGAGTGCTTTTTTTTCTTTTTCCTGATCATAGTCTCTTAGGGCTATAATCTTATAATTTTTTTCCTGCTAGTCCATGCCACTGCACCCAATGACCTTGCTTCCAATCCGGACTGCTCATCAGCTCAAGCTCTTCACACCTTGATGTGTTCATAATGCCCAACTACTTGTGCTCCACATCATTAAAATGCTATCAGTCGCCTGCCAATTTTATTCCCTTGTTTTTAGCCTCGACCCGGGCATGAGGAAATTCTAGCTTGCTCCATCGCTGCTTATCATCATTGAAAAAAAATATTTCTATTCATGCTTTCTACTTCCATGAAGATAGCTCTACGATCATCCATGCCGCTGGCATGGGCATAGAAAGGACCAGTACTAGGGGGGCTGTAGCATTTCTAATAGTTTGAGTACATATCAATTAAGAGGAAGGAAAAGACCTTCGTGCCCCTCAATCAAGACCTAGGGAGATGTAGTGATTACTGATTGGAGCCATTTAAGGCCACATATTGGGCTAACCGAACAAAAATTAATTTGTTTCACATTGTTAACTATCATTTCAATCATGATGACATGGGGGACCGGGGGGGGGATTGATTCGGTGAGAATTTCTTGCATTTTTGTACACATTTTTTGAGTGCTAGAAATTCTTAATTCCACATCATCAATTTCGAGTACCAAAAGAATTATTCTAGACTGCAATTGAACTATCTATTTAATTGTACAGGGGAAGTAAACAATACAACAATGATCTAGACAAGCCTTGTGAATTAATTCAGCTCCTTGCCATTCTTGCGGCGATCGTTGCTTACCAAGCAGGAATAGATCCACCTGGAGGCGTCTGGGCAGACAATGGGGCTAGCCACAGTGGAGACCCAATACTCCTGACAACACACCCTAGGCGGTACAAGGTCTTCTTCTATTTTAACTCGGTGGCTTTTGTGGCATCCCTAGTCATCATGGTGATGTTGCAGAATGAATTTCTAGTTAGAAGCCATGTACTGGAGGCAGCCATGATACTTGATTTGTTTTGCCTCATAGGCGCGTACGCTGTCGGAAGTTGCAGGGACACAAGCACTTCCATTTACACAGTTGCCTTGGCTGGTGGTGTCCTTATCTATGTGGTGATTCACATTCTCTTCTCCACACTAGAAAAGAAGTCGGACAAGCAGGGTGAGGAAGACAAGATAAAGGAGCATCAGTTGGAGAAGAAGCGTGAGTTGTTGCTGCTTGTTGAAATCTTGGCTGCAACACTCACTTACCAAGCCGGCTTGACCCCACCGGGTGGCTTCTGGGAAAATGATGAGTTTGGGCACCGTGCAGGCTTCCCTGTCCTACTAGACAAGTTCCCTATCCGTTACAAGGCATTTTTTTATTGCAATGCAGCAAGCTTCATGGCATCCGTGGCTCTCATCATTCTCCTTCTCAACCGAAATCTGTACGGGCCGGGCATAAAGTGCTATGCGCTCTTTGTCTGCATGGTAGCGGGCATGTTCGGCCTCATCGATGCCTATGCTGCTGGAAGTTCGATGCATCTGCGAACCTCCATCGTTGTCTTAATATTGGTTACGGTAGTTTTTGCAGCTGTAGTCTATGTGGCAATCATCGGTCGTGGACAACGTGCAAACATAAATCAACATCAGTCAAAACAAACACAAAATCAACAAACCAACAAGGAAGATGGCATGATGGACACACCAAGACAAACACAAGATCAACAGGAAGCTGACATGAAAAAGAAAGCCGACATGATGGCCAAGTACTTAATGCTAGCAGGAATATTGGCTGCGAGTGTGGCCTACCTCACGGGCCTAAAACCACCTGGTGGCCTGTGGAGGGATGAAGGTAATGGGCACTCTGCTGGCAACCCGGTCCTCTACGACATCGACAAGCGTCGGTACAATGCTTTTTTCTATAGCAACTCCACTTCCTTCATGGCATCCATCACTGTCATTGTTTTGCTGCTTCGAAGGATGACCAAGGGCGATGAACATAAATTGCCTCTTTGGCCAATGCACACAGCCATGTTGCTGGACATGCTTGCCCTCCTGGGAGCCTACGCGGCAGGCAGTACTCGGAATTGGTGCACATTCAAGGATGCCATCCTGCTTCTCTTACCTGTGTTGGGCTTTGTTGTTATTCTTTTCTTCTGGAAGAAAGGAGGTGAAGAAAAACATGATGGCTCCAAATAGAATCCTACTATCAAGTCTGGCCCTGAACATGCTTAAAACTGATCTAGTGTCGAATGTCTCATATGACGTTCTTATATAGCGGCGGATTAATTACACAGGTCCATATTTTCAAGAATATATACAATAGCTGCTTTTGCTTGATTTAAGCTTTCTGAAGTTGGAGTCCAAGGTGTGTGTTGAGATGTCGAGTTGTTTGCTCCCATATGTATTCTTTGTTGGTCTATAAGAGAAAACTGAATAAAAGACTTTCTAGATGTTATTATATGGAGCCAAAGTCACATATCGAGTCGTCTATAGATCTCCCCATACTGTAAATGGTATATTTCATGGGTATGTATGTCAATAATGAAGAATCCTTGTACTACCAAGTCACAAATAAATGGAATTTATGGAGTTGCCTTAAGTCGATAATTCATTTCAAACTTTGGTTACATGTTATGTTTATGTATTGGGTATCGATATTTGAAAATGATATGAGTATTATTTTTCTATGTTTGAAAATGATCTTGAAATACAGTTTGATAAAAGTATTATTTTCCTATGTTTGTAAACTATTATTATGAAACAAGAAGTACTAGCTAAGAGCTGCAGAGACAATGTGGCACATGTTGGCGGGTCCGAGGTGGCGTTGTGGGGTGGGAGAGGAGGTCAAGGAGGTGGTGGTCAATTGACATGGATAGGACAAGAAAACGGGCGGTGTTATGTTCTTGATGTGCCCCTTTGACAAAACAGTTGCCATGCCCGCTCCCATCCCATCACCAGAAGGCACAAGTAGGGGAAAAACTGTCCACACCGCTGCAGCTGGCCATCATTACACTGCCCCATCCCATTGCCAAGCTGCCCTCCACATCCCATCATCGATGGATGAGCATGAGTAGAGTGGAGAGTAGTCGCCAGCAACTGCTCTCAGACATCCCCAAATTCCATGCACGCGAACTCGCCCTTGGCCACGGTTGTTGTCAGCATGCGTCCACCGTGCGTTGGCCTCGTCTCCCTCACATCGCACCATTTACCTTGCCGAGGATGGGGCCTGTGTAGTCCCCAACGGGGATCAAGGTGCAGGGCCCCTAGATGGTCACGCCCCAACTATCGCGTCCCGTCGATGCTCGCTCTCCCATCGAAACAACCGCCGATGCATGGACAAATCTATGCATGGAAGCCCATATCCGTCCGTAACACAACCGATGTTGTTCCACCACCGTCACACTTTGATGCAGCCGCCTCCACCACCGTCGTGGACGCCCTCGCGGTCACCAAACCGTCTGGCCTCTTGCAGACACCATCTCATGGCTAGGTGCGGAGGCCTAGATCCGGCTGCGACCTGGCGACAGGGGTCCCACCACCGGTCCGGTTTTTTCCACTATGCCTGGCGTCCCACCACCACTACACCTCATCGCCTCTGTCACCGCCACCATCCTGGGCTCCCGCGCAGCCGCCTCTGCCTTCGCCACCACTGGGGAAGCCAGCGCAACCGGCGTCCCACCACCACCACACCTCATCGCCTCTGTCACCGCCACCATCCTGGGCTCCTGCGCAGCTGCCTCTGCCTTCGCCACCACTGGGGAAGCCAACGCAACCGGGTCGGCTCCCGCAGCTCGCTGCTTGTCGGTTGCCCAACAAGAGAGGGAGAAGACCCTGCCGCTACCATCCTTGCAACCACACGATTTCCAATGGCCCGCTCAGGCGGTAGAGAGGGAGGAGGAGGCAAGGAGGCGGGTGGTGTTGTGGCAGCCTGAATCACCACCATTGTTGCCCCAAGCAGAAAGACACGGGGGCCAATATCTTTTCTGGTAGGAATTTACTGTTAGTAATTGATATCATAGGTATCTCTAATGGTTAATAACGTACACAATGTTTAGAGATTCTGACCAAATTGTTATTGGCTTATATGGTACAAGATGCATGAAAAGGATAGAAGACGATATAAAGTAAAGTTTTGCCTACTAAAAATGTAGGGATCAATATGGGTGTTGAATTATTAATTTAATCAAAATGAATATAACACTATAGATGAATTTTAAATCAGATCTATGATAGTTTAAATTCTGATATAAAAAAAATACTAGAGTAAAAGAAAGTAGAGGGGAGAATGCTTCCGATCCTTTATCATTTTACACTCCCGCTCTCTTGTTTCTCCTTCTATAGACCCTTGTCATCTATCAATGCCAATCAGACCCGGAGCCCGGGAAAGATTTCCTCTGCTTTCACCATTATTTCAGCTGTCTTCTCTGCTCCTTCTCTTCTACGGAGTAGTATTTAGCGTGCACCCAAATCCCCACCACTGCCTCTTGCTCCGGCGTGGTCAATGAGAGCTACTTCCTCCATCCCATAAAAAAACCAACCTAGTACCGGATACACATCATCCAGATTTATAGGAATATGAAATATCATATCCGGTCCTAGATTCTTTTTTATAGGACGAAGGGAGTAAGTTGCTGTCGCCGGCGGCCGGCCTCGACGTTGGGGTACAGGTTGGCGGTTGTTAGGGAGCCGGAAGCGAACATGTGAATCATAGACTTTGATCTGACTCATCAAAACAGATCTGCAGAGTTTGATAGGACTCATCTCTCTCTACTGGTCTACTCTGAAAATAGAGTTGTCCTCCTCCATGAGCATCGTACCTTTCTAAGAAAAAACCGTCTAAAAACTGTCTATCCAAGCATATGTACATGTTTTCACAAGCCAAATGAAAACTAGTGCTTTCACGGCCCATGAAAAAAGCAAGTGTTTTCACGAAAAGAAAAGTGAAAAGTGAAATAATCACTACCAAAAAAAAAACACCTCATGCAAGAAATAGTACGTGTTTGCAAGACCCACTTAAAAAAAGAGAAAATTGGAACCATGCCATTATAATTTTGCAAAATTGGAACCATGCCATCCTAACCCACATGTCATTGACTCATGTGGGTCCTACATGTCATTGAGATACCGATGGCATATCTCAAACTTTGCAAAATTATAATGGCATGGTTCCAAATTACCCCTTAAAAAATTACTAATGTTTTCATTCACGACCCACCAGCTGAAAAACCACGTAGGAAAAACTGTCATAAAACCGTTTGTCCATATTTTGTCATTAAGGGCCTGTTTGGTACAACTCTAGCTCCAGCTCCACCTCTCCTGGAGCTGGAGCTCAGCCAAACAGTTTCAGTTTCACCCAAACTGGAAGTGTAGTTGGGTGGAGCTCTCTCACAAAATAAACTAGAGTTGTGACGCTGGCTTTAGACAGCTCCACAACTCTACTCTAGACTCAACTCCTGAAGTTAAATCTTCAAATTCAGTTTTAACGCATGGCAGTATGGCACTCTAGTCAAAAGGAAAGAAATTTTGTATTTCGTCATTGAATCTTCAGATCCCGTTGAAACACACGGGCATGGCAATATAGCACTAGTCAAAAGGAAAGAAATTTACATTGAAACGCAAGAAGCACGAAGGTTAGCTACGGACGAAATCCTGGTGTGACTATTTGGAAAAATCCTAAGCATTCAATAAAAGTAAGACTCCTACCTGCATAAGTTTCCGAGTCTTATGCTGTGTATATTCTTTGGGTGTAGAGACCGATTTAATCCATTATTAAAAAAAAATTTCCGAGTCTTTCTGTTTTTCAATGATTCCTTTCGTCTCGAACTCGATCTAATTCACATCTACAAATTAATCGATTTGTGGATGAGATGCGTTGATCTAATTATGGTCAAAACCTACGGTCTGAGCTAGGGCTGAAAAGAAAGCAATTAATGGGCTTTTGGCCCGAATCCAAGGAAGCATTTTCATAAACTTTTTCAATTATAATGTATAATGATAATGATATCCCAATGTTTCAATTTATTACTTAGCTCATAGTAGCTATTATATCACTGAAAAACATCTTTATCTGTTGCAACACACGTCATTTTTCTATACATCTATACCTATATGTCTAGTTAAAAAATACGTAAGGCTTCCACAACTTATTTTTTCGTCCGTCATCGTCTCTGAGCCAGCCCATTCGGCCTTTTTCTCACACTCCCTTTTTCTCTCCCTCTTGGGCCTTCATCTCTCTTTCTCTTGGACTTTCCTCCTCCGGCCGAAAGTCATCTCCTTTTCCTCCCCGCCTTGGCTTGCTCCCCCCTCCATCCCTCGGCCTGGCTGTGTTTGGGCTCGGCCCAGCCATCGCTCATCCTAGCCTTTTTCACCGCGCGCGTCTCGATTCGCCGCTTGTTCTTCTCTCTTGACATAATTCTAGAGCCGCCGCCACATCAATCTGTCTCCTCATATGTTTCCTCTTTCAATTGTAAAAATCGATTCCTCACCCCTCACTTATCATTTCCCCATGATTTTTCTTTTTAATTTGGCTTAAATTCACCAAATTAATTTCTGTTTAACTGTCGCCAATGATGGCCCGGCGATGAGCTACCCCGTCCGTTTTTATCTCAAGTTTTGCGGAATTGAATACGGATTCGCTTCGATATTGAAACGGACCAAGAGCGAATGTGCATAAAATCCAGTGAGAGATGAAACAGAGGCGGATCTATATTGAAAAAAAAAATCCAAAGTTTCCTACCTGCATACGTTTCCGATCGAGACGTTCTATATTTCAGTGATTCCTTCCGTATCGAACTCGTTCTAATTCCCATCAATCTACAAAATTAATCTATCCGTGGATGAGACGCATCATATCGATAACTCATCGTCGTCGTCCTCCTCCGATCTGTTTGTCTAGGTTCCGTGGCAGGTACAGCTTGTTGTACCCATGGGTCAAACCACTTCCAAGTCTGCCGGCGACGGTAAGCCCAAACCCAAAACCACCTCGGCGGCGGCAGCGGCGGCGGCCGTCGTGAGCGAGACAGCAACCGGGTCGATGACCATGAGGATCGCCGGCTACTCTCAAACCAAGGGGATCGGCGTCGGCAACAGCATCAACTCCAGCAAGTTCCACGCCGGAGGCCACACCTGGTACATAGCCTACTACCCCGACGGCGACCGCGAGGAGTACTCCGACTGGGTCTCCGTCTACCTCTGCCTCGCCCGGCCAGCTGCCGGCGCCGCGGCCGACGACGTCGTCGAAGCGAAATTCACGCTCAGTCTACTCAGCGGGACGTACGGTGCGGTGGTCGAAGAGAAGATCTGCACGGCCAAGAAATTCTCCTTCGCCAATGGCTACTGGCCAAGTTGGGGGCATACAAGATTCATCAAGAGGAAGAAGATGGACAGTCGATTGTGGTCGTGTCTACATCTAGACGGTCAAAGTTTCTATATCAGATGTAATATCACCATGGATATTATCCGCTGTGAGGCGGCCACCACGGCGGTGGCGGTGCCACCGCCGGACCTGCACCGGCACCTCGCCGCCCTCCTCGGCAGCGGGGTGGGGGCCGACGTGCGCATCAGGGTCGGCGGCAAGCTGTTCGCGGCGCACAAGAACGTGCTCGCGGCACGGTCGCCGGTGTTCATGGCGGAGCTCTTCGGCAATAATGGCGGGAAAGATCAGAAGGAGGCGAAGGCTGCTGCTGCGGCAACTGGCAATGGCGTTATTCGGATTGATGATATGGATTTGAGGGTGTTTCGGGCCATGCTTCAGTTCATCTACACCGATACCCTGCCTAAGATCGACAAGGGAGACACGGCGTTCATGGCTCAGAATCTGCTCGTCGCGGCTCATAGGTATGGGATTGAGAGGCTCAAGTCGATCAGCGTCGACATGATACGCAAAGGTGCATAGATGATCTACAGACGCAACAACTACAATGATGCTAGCACAGTATGGTTGCCACGGTTAAAGGAGAGATGCTTCATTTAAACTAATATGTGTTTATTCTTGTATTTAAATTAGGTCCATTTGAACTAATAAATTTATATGCATGCATATGGGTACGTCATTTTGTAGTTAACGTGTTTTATAAGACCAATTTATCATACTTTCATTTGTCTTTTGAGGATCAGTTTGAAATATTGAATCATTTTTTAGAAAACGATGAAGAGTAGGTCGTGGGATCACTTTCGGCCGTGTGGCACCATGTATTCGAGTTTAGACTTTAGACATTAAGCAGGACACTGCTCATTCATTTAACTAGGAAGTACGCATATATAGTTTACAAAATATCTGCTATATTGTTATGTATGAGATGAAAGAACACAGGAAACAAAAAATACAACAATATCTCGAGAACTATTCGAACAATAGGTGACCAAAAGCTATTATGGGCTTAGGGAGGCTAGGCCCAACAGCTGGCCCATTAAGGCCCATAGTACTGTTGATGGGCGTGAACAGAGTCTGCATTGCAGTGATGTCATCACCAGGAACCCACATATTATGTTTGGGTTTAGGAAGAACAAAAAATACTAGTGACACTGCACGTCAGTAGTAGCCTCTAGAGATCGCTATATTTAGTGTGTCCCCAGTGCATTTTTTTTCTGAAATTTTCATTACAAAACTTTTATCTGGAAAATTTTGTTCTAAAATCATTCATCTTTTATATATAAAAGTTTGTGCTTAGAAGGCACGTGTATCAAACAGTAGTTCCAATACTCTAATTAATTGTCTTTGTTAATCCTCTTAGACCGGACTGAGTGTTTGATGGCATTTTTGCAGCGGCTAGAACGATGAACCTGATAGCCATGATCATTAGGTATATGTGAGGCCAGCTAGCTCTCCATTTCATGTGTGCATGCGCCATGCAAATATAGAAATACACACTGTGCCCAATCTATACTTGTTAATTAGTATATATATGCGTGTGTATACTGAATCAAGAGCAAGCTAGCTATGTCAGTCGGCCGGTGAAGCAACTACGTACATGCATGCATGCATGCATGCATGGCAGTACACAAATATATGGTGCTTGATTAAGGGTGAGGTGATTAATGGGCTTAATTAAGAAATTTAATGCGCCTGCCCCTGGGCTTAGCCCATATCAATGAATGACACAATCACGGCGTATTATACATATCCACAGCTTTGATTTATCGGCTAGATGAGTTTACTTATCGATCAAATTAGAGAGATAAGCTGGGGTTTCAATTTATCTGAACAACTTCTGCTCACGCGTGCGGAAGAGATAAAACCAGATGAATTAAGAGATAACCAACAAACCAATTGATTCTATCTTTGTAACAAACTTGATCGAGTTAGTTACTTCGCGCGAGCGCTGGCGAGGCGCTTATCACCGGACTGTGGCCCAGCAGCAGAGAAACAAAGCAAATTACAAATCAAGTTTATCTCTATTGATTGTTTCTTATCTACAGAAATAATGATGAAGGAATCGCCACCCAGCTGCGCACGCGCGGGCGGCTGGGCCTCCATCTCCCCGATGCTCCAGAAGTTAACAGAGCTCAGATATTTGACACCGGGAGAGGCTAAGAGATAAAATAAAAGAAGGATATGAACAAATAACAAACTGATCGATCGAGCCTTATCTGCAACGAACTTGACGCGGACGAAACGGCGCGCGGACGCGGCGAGCACCGACCTTAGGCCCCTATATAAGGCGTCGACCCCTCGGCAGCCTGGGGCATTGACGAACTTATCCACAAATTGATCCACCAACGCATCCAGTATCCACAAGCCACCCATCATCAACGCATCTGCCCATCCAGCATCAACACATCCATCCATCAACTCTCATCGGCGATCCATCCATCGAAGACACGCACCGGCGGCGGCGAGCGACTTCGGCCGGAGTCCCGACGTCTGGCAGGAGAGGGCGCGCGCGGTGATCCGATCATTAGCAAGCGCAGGAGAGGAGCTTGATGGCTAGTCAAGGTAAAAGCTAGCAAGATTGTTTCGTTTTCTTTCATCTACAGCACGCACACATCCATGCATAGGGATCCATCTGCACGTATCGTCGTCGCCGGGGAAGTCGCGGTGGCCGATTCATCTACGCGTCACAGAAGCCTCATCGATGCCGGCGTCTGTTCGAGCTGACGCTGTGCTACTTGTCCCTGGACTCGACGCTGCTAATTCAAGCTGCTGGTGATGCATCTACCCGAAGCTGCGACCTCGCCGAGATGCCGGACGTCCTTGATTTGCAAGCTTCACCGCACTGGAGCGGGCTAACCATGGAGGAGGTCATCGGGAAGCCGCCCTGCCGGAGCGCGCCGAGGATCGCCGGAGCTGCCACCGACTGCCAAGATTTCTATCCATTCCCATGCCGGAGGTCAAGTATCACGCATGGCGTCGAAACCAGCGGATGACGATGGAGACAAGTATGGCTGCAGTACGAAGGAAGGACGACGGGAGGACGGCGAGCCAGTGCTGTTGGATGGCAACAAGCTAGCTAATGCATGTTGATTAAGTTAATTATTGTGGCAACGTGGCCAACCAATCGGAGGACGACATGTCATCACTGCTACAGTGCCATGCACAAACCAATGCGTGGGCTGAAGAAGTCCTATTGGTTTTTCTTATTCGTCCCAAATGAGATGCCGAGCTTTGATTAAATCCGGTTACCGTCTACATCAACCATCTTTAATAATTTCTCCCTTTCCTAATCTAATCTCGACGCAACTGCTGTGACGTCAAGTCGTTCGAGCTACGCAACTCCATGCATGTTGTTCAAGACCGACGAGGCTAGACGACGGAGGGCGGGCGAAGTCGATACGAAGGCCACGCTACCAACACCGGCGCACGGACCGACGAGGCTGTGGATCGCTGCCGGCGCTCGCACACACACATCTACATCATCATCCCAACCATGCATGGAGAACGCGAAGCGAAGACGACGAGACGACCACAAGCAGCTTAATCGGAGGTTCTCTTGCAGGCCTAGACTTGCGGAGGTAATTAACTGGGAGCTTTTCGAGGCCCCAGGAACCAGGAGACCACATCGCACAAGTCAGATCTGTCCAATGACAGATTATGGAGCGCGCATACATATATATTACATTGGGAATTTGTATTTATGATCTTTTAAGATTAATAAAGAGCATGTTCTCTATGTTTTGTTTACATTGTGTATTTAGGTACACTGGCACGCCCGCACATATATGTATCTCTAAACAAACGAGATCTTAGACGTTATTTTCCACCCTAAACACTGAGTGTATTACTTTGTGCAGCACACGAATAAATGACTTGTATGTTTTGTGGGCGGTTAATTTGACTTCGATGTTCAGTACCTTGTGGGCTGTAGAGATTTGGGAGCATAGTTTTCATACCTTGGCCCTGTTTGAAGGTTGTAGATGAAGGCTGTAGAGATGTTCAGTGCCTTGTGGGCTGTAGATGAAGGTTAAAAATTAGTGCACACAAAACGAGCTCGTTATTAGCACATAACTAATCAAGTTTTAATTGCTCTAAATTTAAAATTTTGGATTTACTTGATAATTTAAAGCAACTTATATATTTAAAGTTTTTTTACACGAAACACACCGTTTTAATATTTTGAAAAGAGTACTAACAACAGCGGAAAAAAAATCCAACACCTTATCCAGAAAAGGACACATATTGTATAGGCTTTCGGAGTAAGAAAAGCAAAATGAAACCAAAACACACGGGGTTCCACGGTTATGGTGAAACTATCTATGGTCACAGCCATGATGGTGGAGACGGAGTTATATACTTGCTTCCTTCGTCATCTCGTAAAAGTAGTATATATAGTATTGAATACGAAACATTCTAATATTACGAATTCAAATAATTATATTTAGATTTATGGTATTAAAATATATCATGTTCAGAATGGGACATTAGAAAGCATGATTTAACATGTCAACCACCTTCTAAATTAATTTCAACGTGTGGGCCCATGCATTTACGTTCAGTCTGGCCTTGTACTATACATTGCACCCGCTCCATGAAAGTGATAGCAGTGACTTGTCCACACAGGTCGTCGCTGCCTCGATCTGCTTAACATGCGACCCTGTCTTTGGAATGCAAGAGATTCAGAGAAACCTTACGCTTACGCGTGAGGCAGCATAGCTAGCCATGATTCTCACCGTCCTGCTCATCCTTGGCTGCTGCTTCTTCTTCTTGCCGATGCCTATGGTCGCCGCCCAGCCCTGGATGATCTGCGGCAGCAGCAAATACACGGCGAACAGCATCTACCAATCCAACCTCGACAGCCTTCTCTCCTCATCATTCCTTGTCGTAAGCGGCGACTCCAGCAGCGGCGCCCTATTCGCCAAGGGCTCCCGCGGCGCCGCCCCGGACACCGTCTACGCCGTCGCGCTCTGCCGCGGCGACGCGAACGCCTCTGCCTGCAGCGGCTGCGTCGACGCCGCGTACGCGGCCGCGACGGCGCGGCTCTGCCCGCTCAGCAAGGACGCCGCCGTCTTCTACGACGAGTGCGCCCTCCGCTTCTCCGACGAGGACATCCTCAACATGGACGCCTTCGGCCGTGTCAACACCTCGGCCGCAGTTGGCGTCGCGCCGCTCGTCCTGATGAACATCACGTCGGAGCCCATGTTATCCGGCTGGAACACCAACATCCAGGGGACAAAAAACTTCACCCAATTCTTCATCAAGACGATGAATTACATAGTAGCACAAGCTCTCTCCACGACGAAGCACTACGCTGCAATCCGCGTGGACATGGATGATGCCGATGCAAGCAACACCGTTACCCTTCCAAGGAGGCTCTTCTGCTTGGCACAGTGTGCTCCAGATTTGGTTGAAGATATCTGCTACAACTGTCTTCAGAATTTCAGCGATCTGGCGACGGCCAACTTCGCCGGTCGGCAAGGGGGACGTATTCTTGCTCTCCGGTGTAATCTGAGGTATGACACGGATAAGTTCTTCGCCGGTGAGCCGACGTGGAGCTCCGGGTCGTCGTCGAATGCACTAGTTCCAAGTCCAGCGCCACAGCCCGCCCCATTACTGCCAACATGGCCAAAACAAAAGAGTAAGCAAAACACGCCCTTCTTTGACATCTTTGCGTAGAGACTATCTTTACTTAAGCACCTCCATCACAAAATATAACAATTTAGTATTAGATAGGAGACACACACATATATCCTATTACTTACATTGAATCTGGACAATCCCTTTATCCAGATTCATAATCGTTGTAGTACTAGGTTGTGTCACATTCAGTTCTAATTTTGCTATATTTGAGAGTAGTAGTAATTAAAGATAAAAATTACTTTCATTATCTCCTTACCAAGCTTCCAACAAAACAAACTAACCATTTGCTCTGAATCTATAGAGCCCGTAGCAAAAGTTTTGGTCCCTGCTTTGGTAGCTCCACTACTTGCATTGTTTCTCTGTATCATCGCTTCCATCATATTGAGAAGGCACATAAAAGGTCAGATATATATCTACATAAAAAAAGTTACATACATGCATGAATGCATAAAGAGCTAAATCAACTGATATTATCAAACCAATTCTACATTTATCAGGTAAGACGAACGCGGATGAAGATGAAGCACTAATTTGGGGGCTACAAGGAAGAAGTTCAGAATTCACTATTTATGACTTTTCGCAAGTATTAGAGGCCACAGATAATTTCTCAGAAGAAAATAAACTTGGGCAAGGAGGCTTTGGTCCTGTATACAAGGTACATAAGACGAAAAATCTGACAAAAGTTATACACATATATTATTCGTTAATTTACATGGAGTATTATGCAATTCACTCTCTGCTTTGGCCGATTATATCTTGATCATAATATTTGTCAAGTGTCAAAAGTCAATTGAAACTGCAAATTAACTCGTGTCACTCATCCATCTCTTTTGCACTTGTCTCTAGGGCCGATTTCCTGATGGGGTGGAGATAGCAGTTAAGAGACTTGCTTCTCATTCAGGGCAAGGCTTGACAGAGTTCAAAAATGAAATCCAACTCATAGCTAAGCTCCAGCACACAAATCTTGTTAGGCTCTTGGGATGCTGTTACCAGGGACAGGAGAAAATACTAATATATGAATATTTGCCAAATAAAAGCTTGGATTTCTTCATTTTTGGTATTACTTCTTGCTGTACCGTACCGCAAATAAAAGATTTGGTTCACTAACTCTAACTGCGAAATGTATATTCTTTGTTATATCTATGTTGAATTGATTTGCAGATGAAACAAGAAGAGCTTTGATAGATTGGCATAAACGCCTAGCGATAATAGATGGGATAGCACAAGGACTTCTGTATTTGCATAAGCATTCTCGGTTGCGTGTCATACACAGAGATCTCAAAGCAGGCAATATTCTCTTGGACCGTGAAATGAACCCTAAAATTGCAGATTTTGGGCTTGCAAAAATATTTAGCGTGAATGATAATGAAGGGAATACAAAAAGGATCGTTGGAACATAGTAAGATTTTATTATAAAATTCATTAGCTGTACACAAAACTGCCAATACTGTTACCTCACTTCAATGTTTTGTATGTGCATCTTTTCAGTGGTTATATGGCTCCTGAGTATGCTTCTGAGGGCCTTTTTTCAATCAAATCCGACGTATTCAGTTTCGGTGTGCTAATTCTTGAGATTGTCAGTGGGAAAAAGACATCAAGTTTTCATCGATATGGTGAATTTATTAATCTTCTTGGCCATGTAAGTTTTCATCATATAATAATGACTTGAGTTTCTAATCTTCCTAAAATGCAAAGCGAAAAGATTTCAGTAGTATATAAAATTAAAGTCTTTTTTCGTACTTCTTCGATAGAAGAAATACTAATGTCATGTAGATTGTTTTCATGTTTTTTGCGATCATACACCTTGCAGGCATGGCAGATGTGGAAAGATGAAACATGGCTTCAACTCGTAGACCCATTGTTACCCACCGATTCTCATACAATAGAGATAATGAGATGTATTAACATTGCTTTGCTTTGTGTGCAAGAGAATGCGGCCGATCGGCCCACCACGTCAGAGGTTGTTGCAATGCTAAGCAACGAGACTATGACCCTACCTGAGCCTAAGCACCCTGCATTTTTCAACATGAGGCTGACGAACGAAGAGGCGTCAACTGTTATTGCGGCATCTAGTGTTAACGGTATCACATTATCTGCTATAGATGGCAGATAGTGTTCAATTCTCTTGCTCGAGGTCATGTGAGAATGTTTTGTATTTGTACATTTTTCCATTCAAGAGCTTTCTTTTCATTTCTAAAATTATAAATCAATATACTCCCATCATCCCAGAATAAGTTAATTTAGTACGGGATATGTGATACATGCCGTACTAGATTAACTTATTATAGGGCAGGGGTAGTATATAAGAACAATACAATGGCAATGTTAGGCGTGTGTCGTGTGTAGGCAAACACAACTGCACGAATAATGCACCAACATCACTAGCAAACTAAGAACCAACACCTAGGATCATCATGTGTGCCAGTTTATAGAAAAATTGGCACCAGTACACTTCACCATGACACAAAATTACCGGCAAATGTCTACCGCTAAAAATTATGAATTCATTGGCAAATTACCATAGAACACAACTCTTTTCGTCTCTATATATGTAATCACGCTCGCTAGCTGCAGGGATGAGAGCAAGTCTTCAAGTCCTCCTATTAAATTAATTATTATCATCGATCGTGCGCCAAATGACTCGGTGGTGTACTCAAGTCTGTATTGCAAGATTGTCCATATGTTGGAGTGTTTGTGTATATATATATCATTATCATCATCAGCAGCAGCAGTGATAGAAAGCAGAAGTGTCAAGGATAACCCTGTGCGGCACCGTACGTGCCGTTAACTCCACAAGTCTTTCGTCCAGAGTCTTCTCTATAGCTACATGCATGGCCTCCGGCCACATGGTTTGCCTAGCAAACATAATTGCCCATTTGAACGATCGATCACATCTGGCCAATTTGGCTTAGGGCCTATTTAGTTCCCAAACAAATTTTTTCATATTGTCACATCGAATATTTAAACACATATATGAAGTATTAAATATAGATAAAAAACCAATTACGCAGTTGCCGGGAAATTGCGAGATGAATCTTTTAAGCCTAATTACGCCATGATTTGACAATGTGGTGCTACAGTAAATATTTGCTAATGACAGGTTAATCATGCTTAATAAATTAATCTCGCGGTTTTCTGGCGGAATCTGTAATTTGTTTTGTTATCAGATTATGTTTAATACTTCAAATGTGTGTCCGTATATCCGATGTGACAACTAACCTAAATTTTTTCCCCAACTAAACAAGGCCTTAGCCGGCCCCGTGTTGTGGTGTTCGTGTCTATCGCATCGACAATAATATTGGAACACCACCGCCATGAAACTGTAACAAAGTAATTGGACAGACTGTTCAATTACATTATTCATCACTATTATCTAAAAGAATTTGAATGTATTTTTACCAGACAAACTTGGAGTCTAATCTGCCATTTCCAAAATCTAACCCCTATAACTACACCCCATCCCCATGATGTTGAAACTTGGTGGAATGGAACCAACCATGTGGGAAGCAAAGTTCAAATGCAGGGTATCAGAGGCACACTACTAACTACTTTGGTGGAATATTTGGCTAGAAAGAAACAGAAGAATTTTTCAAAATTCTTGCCTCTCAGTAAATGAAGTAGCATACCTTATCAAACAAGATATGGATTTGTGCAAAATAGCTTTTAAGCCCCCCCTGATTTTATTTTCTTCTTAAGCTGTATTTCCTCTTTGTTATAGTCCATGTAAACTCTGTAAACTCTTTGCTGGGTTTCGGCCTTTTCCCTAATTTAAATTCCGGCAGATCTCCTACCGTCGTTCTCCTAAAAAAATTCTAAAAGAATTTACATTATTCACTAGCCACTATGTGGTAATAGAACATTCATTTCACTCACAGATACTCTAACAATCCAGGGGCTAGTGACAAACTGGACCACCTATTAGCAACTTGCCCCATCCAATGAAGAGCTTGATTGTCTATATGAGTGGTGGGAGATGCTCTCTACTTGTCAATGCGTAACCAAGGAGAAAGGACTTCGCACATGCACTTAGGGACGAATCCTGAATAAGATTAGAGGGACACTCATCTCCTTTCTCCTTCAACCATTCATTATCTTCCTCCTCTACCTCTTCTCCCCCTTTCCCTCTCCTTCTATCAATAGAGATCTAGCGGGGTAGGGGGGATTCAATCGGTAAGTCTCCCTAGCATCCACGCTGGATTCGCCTGTACATGCCATTGTCCTTCTATGTGTATGTTCGATTGGTCTTACTGCCACAACTGTTGTAGCTATGGTGGTTGTAAAGAGCTACCGGCTGCAACTGTTTTGAACTGCCTTAGTTTCAGCCGCTGATCGGCAGTTAGCGCTGTTGATCAGATCCCTAGTCATTTGGAAAATATGAAAATTAAAGAAAGAAATTAGAGAGCCTTTGAACAGAAGGAGAATTTAACGATCGATCCTTTTGGAAAAAACAAAGAAGAATCTAGTACGTGGATGTTTGTGAGGTGAAGCGCCTGCATGAGCTCATCATCCTCTCTATATAGCCATATGTCTTTATTTTTGTCGCACCTAGAAGGTGTAATTTTTATCTTTTACGATCCGATGGTTCTCGACGCATCTCTCTAGATGTGCCCAGCTCACGAAATAGACAAGTTTGGCTGCTCGCTCGCTTCTCCTCCTCGAGATGGACGATGCTCCTCTGAATTTGTGCAGTTTATAGTTGCACCACTGATATGTAAGCCATAATGAAGTGAGGTGCATATGTTCAGTGACTACACAAGGTAAGAGGATCCACTTACCCTCGAGACGGTTTTGACTTTTGAGTCTATGTCCTCTCTCGCCTTCTGTCCTCAATGCCTCACTCTAATTAGTCCCCGGTCCACTAAAATATAGGCCCTTAAAATATGAATGGGCCATTATCTCGACTCATTAAAACGAGGCGGAGTGAAGAAATACATTCACGTGAATTTAGTGGGCCGGGCACAAACTGATCACACCGAAGGCCTATGCATGTGAATGGGCCAGATATATATGGGCCCATTAGGAGGTGGTGATTTTGGCCAGGCCCAACAGGTTAATTAGCGGGTTCTAATAATTGTGGTTAAAGTTCACTTCAAAACAAAATCTGCGACGACTGAAGCTTTTCTCACAGCCGGACTATACGTTTCCGAAGTATCGCGAGGTCGTTCTTGTAATTCCCATATAATCCGTGCAAATATGTGCTATTGAAAATCGAAAATGCTATACACACGACGAATTTGTGCGACTATCGTACGACTAGTCGACAGCGTCATCTGTGAGCGTGAGCTGTTTACTTAGTGGGCTGTGATTGTTGGGCCTTTTAAAAGCCCAACTCCAGCCGAAGCTCCGTATTCCGGCGTCGATTCCTCTTCTCGATATTACTCTATACACAGTCGTGACTTTTCATCTTCTGCATTTTCTTTCTCACCGTAAACCCTCATTCTAATCCCCTTTGTCTCCTATCCATAACAATCAGTTAAGATTAATCGGAAAATTTTTTTGCGGCAACCACAACAGAGTATCCACGTTGAAGCTAACAGAAAGGTATGAGAAAGTTGTTGATTTATTTTTGCCTGACATTTTAGGCTCTGGTTTTCTAGGCCCGATGAGCAATTCTATTAATTTTCTCAATTCGTTTTTCAACATCTCTTGTTTTTCCATGCTTGCAAACACATACATGACCATATTTGATTTGCTTTTAAAATCGATTTAATTTTCCTTGCCAAATTAAGGTAATGGACACCAATCTATGTTCTGATGATGAGCAAGAAGATCATATCATATCAGATGAAGATGGCTTTGCAATTGAGGAGGTTGAGAGTGATTCAAATGCTCTGGTAGCAGATAAAACCAAACTGTTGGAGCCAACCAAAGGTATGCTATTTGATAGTGAGGATAGTGCCACTTGCTTTTACATTAAGTTATGCTCGAAAGTTAGGATTCGGTGTGATAAAAAGAGGATCTAAGAAAACTGAGGATGGCAAGGTGAGATATTTCACACTTGCTTGTAGCAGACAAGGTAAGGCACAGTACACATCAACAAATAAATTCAAGCCTAACCCCTCCACAAGGCAGCAGTGCCCAGCTAAAGTTAACTTTTATCTTCATGATGAGAAATTCTGCATTAGTACGCTTACTCTTGACCATAATCATGTTGTAAGTCCTAGCAAAGCAAGACATCTCAGATGTCACAAGAAACTTGATTTGCAAGCTAAGAGAAGGCTAGAGTTGAATGACCAAGCAAGAATTCGTATAAACAAGAATTTTAGTTCTCTAGTTATGCAAGCTGGAGGCTATGAGAATCTTCAATTTGGTGAAAAGGAGTGCAGAAATTATTTGCAAGATGTACGAAAGCTTAAGCTTGGTGCTGGAGATGCACATGCAGTTTATCAGTATTTCCTGCGTATGACGTCCAAAGATCCAAACTTTTTCTATGTCATGGACGTGGATGAGGACTCTCGACTAAAAAATGTTTTATGGGTGGATGCAAGAAGTAGGGCTACCTATGAATCTTTTTCAGATGTTGTGACATTTGACACTACGTACTTGACTAACAAGTACCATATGCCATTTGCTCCTTTTGTCGGTGTAAATCATCACGGGGAATCAGTTCTATTAGGATGTGCTCTGCTATCAAATGAAGAAACTGAGACTTTTGTTTGGTTATTCAGATCATGGTTATCATGTATGTCAAATAAAGCACCAAACGCCATAATTACCGATCAGTGCAGAGCAATGCAAAATGCTATTATGGAAGTATTTCCTGAAGCTCGACACAGATGGTGTTTGTGGCATATCATGAAGAAGATTCCTGAAAAACTTGGTGGGTACTTAGAATATGAAGTTATTAGCTCTACATTGTCTAATGTGGTGTATGATTCATTAAACAGAGATGATTTTGATAAGGGATGGATGAAAATGATTGATGAATTTAGCTTACAGGATAATGAATGGCTTGCTGGGTTATATGATAACAGGGAATTATGGGTGCCGGCTTATGTGAAAGACACATTTTGGGCTGGAATGTCTTCGTCGCAAAGGAGTGAGAGTGTGAATGCCTTCTTTGATGGTTATGTTAATGCTAGAACCACACTTAAGCAATTTGTGGAGCAATATGACAATGCACTAAGAGACAAAGTAGAGAAAGAAAACAAGTCTGATTGTAAATCATTCCAAGAGGCAATTCCTTGCATTACTCACTATGAATTTGAGAGGCAATTTCAGGTGGCATATACCAACAAGAAGTTTAAAGAGTTTCAGGATGAGCTAAGAGGCAAAATCTACTACTATGCAACTCTTCGGAAGACAGAAGGGTTG